CMMCMYYGTCATGTTTTTGTCTCAACAAGGAAGCCCACAGCAAGAAAGRCAAAAAMGTTTGSCTGTAAGGGAGGCTAGGATCATCYGTCATCTTGTTTCATWAAAAGASATCAGACCTCTAATTGTACAAAATTTTAGCCCATCGATAATAAATTTATTAGAAATCACTTTAATAATTGTGACAACAAGTTATCAGCTATGATAATATTACAGTGACTAGACTTACCACCCACTGCCATCGTATCACATTATCTAGTTTTAATGCTAGAAATATGAACTGTAGTATGTTTACTGAGAATACTGTTTCTAGCTGTCAATGAAGAGGATATAACTATTACCAAACGATAGTGTGATTCAAAATGTGGCTTAGAGATTCTTTACATTCAAAATAGGGTGTCTCAAAGTAATACAGCTTCATACTGCCTGGGGCACTCTATCTCATGTACAGAATCATTCACTTAGAACTGAGGGAATCTAAGTTCTTTACAAGCAGGGCATMGCCAGGATTTAAATTGTAAAGTATTTTCTTTATATTAGTTTATTAGACAAATAGTAAGAGAACAAAATACATAAGCATAAATTAGTGTGAGTTGCATCAGTGTTTGTGATGAAACGGGATGAATCATTACACTGTAAAATGATAATAAACTTGCTTTTGTTAAAAGGTTAACACCTTTTTGAAGTGTAAATCACAGATTGTAAGAGGGTCAACAATGTGACACAAAAGGTACCTAATAACACTTACCTCAACAGATCTGTCATGTCTGAAGCCCCAAACACAAGCAATAATRGACACAGATGACAAGACATATAAAGGCATGAACATAATCCTCCATGCATACAGCTTCTTATCAAGATTAATGCACACAAGTATTTCAAAGATAAACAGTAACATATGTAGAAAGAGACAGATCATCATTGCCTTRAACTCTATATAGCTTTCACCTTCACCTCTGAAACAAAAACGAAGGAATGTGGGAATAAATAAATAAAAAATGATCAATATTTTTGATAGTGGTAGATGATTTCCAAGATGTAAGAGTGCTTTTTAAAAAATTGTGGATGCTCACATCTCACATTAAATTGAGATATTTACTCCAGGGTTTATTATTAACAAAATATAAAACATTCCTTTTTCATGAGGGAGGAAGGGGGTTGGCAGTGGGTATAGAGGGGGGAAGGAAWSGATTTCGARAACGTTGAATGTTRASAWGTTTTATATCAAAATGTCTATGAACAAGAATGGTATTTAATCTTTATACAAGCACAGCTGAACATGTTGTTTTACCTGTACTCTGGCCTTTTAATCCARAGRTATATCCCTGTGAAAGCACCACAAAACACAAATAATTTCCAAATCCAAACTGGTGTAAAGACGGCCCAGTAGCTCCACTCAATTGCTCCATCAAGACGAAGAGCCAGGAGAATTGTGAAAACGAACAGCATAAAAAACAGAAGGAACTTGCTATGTTGARGACGAGAAAAAAATCAATTTAATTCAGTTTGTATTGATAGAGTAAGTTAAAAACAAATGGTCTATATCTTGCCTTGGATTAAAGTCTTGAAAAAGACGCCGAAAATTCATGTTAGAAAGCATAAATTCGGCAGTTGTTTAGTTCTTGAGTCGATAGTTCTACAAACACAAATCCTCTTTGAAAGATGAAAGGTTCATTTTGTGTATGTCACGGAACCGCGCTTGAAATATGGCCGTGAAAGACTCGACTCAACACAGGAAACCCACACAGCAMAAGATAGGAATGAAAGAAAAAAAATCAATATTATGGATGGCATGGTACTACATTAATTTTAATGAAGTTTGCAAATTTTGTACTCGCGATATTTGTGATTGACTGAGAGTAGTTTCAAAATCAGCCAAGTACAGATGTTTTGAGCAAGAGGTAATTTTTTCCTTTTTCTCAAGAAATCTACCCATCTTCAGCTCAGGAACTTATTTAAAACTCATAATATATTTTCTGCTGCTCATTCCTCACAACGACATTACGATAACATAAAAGGATTACTAAGGCCTTGGCTGGCAAGAATTCCTACAGTTTTATGTTCTCTTCTCAAAATATATTAGTTTKCTTATATCTTAAAATTTTTTAGTGAATTCATTAATTTTGTAATACATAGTTTTCATTTTACAGAAAATCAATTGTTCTGGCTCCAAATTTAATGTTTTTTTTCCCACACATTACAATGCATTTTTGGACAGTTACCATATTGAGTCAAATCAGATTTGTGTTGTAAACATAATTTCAAAATAAATATTTTGTAGAGTGATCGCACTTCAACAGTGCAACTGTACAAAATCTAAGTAGTATCAATTTGTGCTAAAAGTGGACCTGTAGCACGGTTTAAGTGCGATCACTCTAATAATGATTGTGCATGAAAAAGTTATCAGAAATGCTGGTTGGCCAACACTTTCTTTTTTTGACAGATTTGCAGTCACCAAATGGTATATTATATAGCTTGGCAGACACTCAAAATATAACAACAAGATCACCTCACTACATCGTTTATTTGTGACTATATACAAGTTTGATGAATCATGATACATAAACAATTCCACACTACACTATATTCTTGTACATTGAAATTTTAGTTTAAATAAGTTGTAGGGGTCAGTTGTATAGTTTGAGGGCTAATCCTCACAAGCAAAGTAAGCAGAGAAGAGGATGGAAGGAATCTGAAAAGAGAGTTATTTTAACAAGCAGCCATCCTTCTTTATATCAATCTTCTCTGCTTACTTCTTTAGAGACAATTATCCTTTGATGCTAATSGGTTAGTTACGAATACATAGTCTGAAGTTCCAATTTTGGACTTTTTTTAAAAACACACATCTGACAACAGTGCTGTTGACCCAGYATGATGCAATGTAACTTAGTATATTAAAAAAATAATGTTGATTTAAAATAGGAAAGTATTTCATCAACCCTAAAGCAAAGTGTAAGATACAGTGTAATTGGAAGATACACTGAAAAGTGACAAGGGTTCTGAATAAGACTGCTAAAAACGTACTTATCTAGTGTGCACAAATCTTATCATCACAATGGAGTAACTAAACATTGAAAGGTATATCAAGACACTGGAAACACTTAATTCATAAACATTAAGCACTGTTATAATATTGCATGCAAAACAATATTGAATTCTATCTTTGAGTTAATAATATTGCTTTTTTCAATGATATAGAATTAGCATTGTAATAGTTTCTATTTGTTTAGTTTTCTTCTGTGTATAATAATTATGCATTGACTATTTGATTTTGATAGACTTTGATTTATAAGATACACAAGTAGTACGATATTGCTGTGAATTCATTATTGTAAATTATGGAAGGRCCACAGTCCCTTTAAAAGTTTTGCACTTGAATAAATTAATGTACACGTACAACAATATGATGCAAATGTACAATATTTGCCATAGGTAAGGTTGTTTGAAGTGCAACTACAAAACTTTCTTTCTTGTAAAATGTGAATCATTCACTGATAATATTTGCTTTGTCTTAACATTTTCCTACACTATATGCAATTGCTCTCGTATAAGGCCTTACCTGAGGCCAGTCTATGGAAGTTATCATGGTATTGATATTAAGTCTTATATACAACCCTTTGTTTCACTTATTGATAAGTTCATTAAAGCCATCACAACTTTTACTGCAGAGTACTGGATACTATAAGCTAAACCCCCAACAGGCTAAAGACAGTTCATACTAGCATTGATACTTCAGATTAAGAGAATTAATGTTCRGTGTTTTCGATCTATCCAAATGAAATGTGTGAGACACCGCCTGGAGGAGCCTTCACTTGAACAGAAGTGTGAAGTTTCTCTTGTGCATTACTTTCAGTTGCCAAGATGTTACCATGGGACTTGTTTCCATTTTGACCCTTTCGTTGATTCACAGGAAGTGTTTCGAGAGGAGCGGTGAATACAGAAGACTTTTGCCTAGCCTCTTGGCAAGACTTTACATTGCCTTTGCTTTGAAACCCAAAATCATTTCCTTCAAACACGTTAGATGAGTTTCTTGCTGCTTGACAAGGATTCATTTTCTGTTGTGAAGTTGACTGGGATGCAGTGAAACTGATTGAGTCCTTGCCACCAGGTGGGGCCAACACTCGACTGAAAACAAATTCAAGTACATAAGTACATATACTCAAAGATAGTTCCAGCTTAGACAAGAGTGATTTAATCCACGAATTGCATTATTACACATTGTACAGGCATGAAATAAAAGATTATGAAGTGAACATTGTGGAAAGAAAAAACACTTTCATGTTTCTCTTGCCAAATAGAAAACACTTTTGATGTTTGGGAGGGGTAATCAGTTTGCTTGCAAGTATGATTATTATTACAATATATCTCTTAATTGTCAAATTCAATGATATCATAACTTTTAATATAGCAACAACCACCAAAAGCCTTAAGATTTGCTACCATTACAAGGTGTCAAGAAAAAAGGAAGAAAATAATAACAAAAGAAAGTTTTTTTTAACTTGTCATCTCCTTATATGTACTACAAACATGTGTTCTGCAGGTAACTTTCACTTTGCCACCTGTGAACCATTTGTTTGTATTTCTAAAAAGTGTATATGATGAAAACAAAACTTTTCTCATGAACATTTTCTGTGCGGTGGTAGAAAAACCCACAATCACAATTAATTACAAAGTCAAACAATAACTTAAAACATCMAATAGTTCAGAAGATTCTAAAAATATGATCTGGATTAAAGTTAAAGAATAAAAGCCCATTAAAAGCGATGCCAATTTGCATTAGCACATAAATTGGTGCTTTTGTTTATGAAAACATCAAAAGGCTCCATCAGAGTGTATCATTATTTATTYATGCAACTTAYCAGGAAAGRAAAATACTACGAAATTATTAGTCGATGGCAGTTATATTGACAAATTGATATCGAACACCTTGAAGGATGACCTTTCGAGGGTTGTCTRTGAAATATCATATTTTATTTTCCTGTGGCTATAAATCTGGTATTTCAAAACAATATTCACCATCGTTAAAATACCACAAAACCAAGAAACAATGAAATTCTAAAGAGACTCGGATGCATCATTATTAATTATCCGATTTCTCTGTAACAGAGGAACGTTGTGTAAGACAATATAGGAAAYATTAGACGAGTCAAATTTTCCGATTACAGAGTTCACTGTTCAACGGTGCATTTACATATTGTAATGCGGTCGATTTTTGAAATTCAAATAAAGTGTTGTAACCCGCAACTCTAATCCACGTAATAACTCCTACACGTATTGTAGTTATAGAACTCTTTCTTGGGTACCATTACAGGTACAAAGTGGACAAGTTACACRTGTAATTATTCGCTTGATCTGATAGTGTACATTCTGTTCTTTGCCTTCTGAATTTCTAATTCGATTTGAATGATTTCTGTTCATATTCAAGCAGGTGCAAACGCTAAATGAAAGGACTTTCGGATTCAAAAGAAACAATACATTATTTATGGCTGCTAGACTTGTCCACGACTCGTGGCGCTTATTATTCGACTAAAGTTTTGTCATTTTTGAGGAAAATTTATGTCATTACTAGAAAATTCAAGCATCTTTAATATTAGATTCGGTTGAGTTCGACCGGAGAGGAAAAACTTTGCACCGGTGCTGCGTYAAAAACAAAACAACGCCAGCGGTAAGTTTATACAAATTGTTCTCAGCCAGCGTGCTTCATGCCATGGAATTCTCTCTTTTGAGTTCAAAAGGAAAAGCTAGTTAACTGTTAGAATAAATCAGGAAGAGTAMGAGGTAATCACTTCAAGAATTTGAAAGTAAACAACAATAAAATACTACGAAGACGCTAAACGATGTTCTTTGCCTTTAGTTGCACAGCTCTTCATACTTTGGAAAGAAAAATATTTACAGTSTGGATATAAATCAAGATTACAAGTAAATACTTAGTACAAAGTTCTCGGGATCACTGTAATATTTGTTGGTCATTTCACAACCAASTTTGTACATTTCAAAGTATAGAAATAATCGAAAAATTAACATGACATCATGCTCACTTTCAAATTTGTGCGCAATTTTTCACCAACGACTTTCATACTATCCACAAACCGTAAYATATTCCTTAATTTTTGAGATATTTTTGTGTAAACTTACATACCTTGTATTCTTCTCATTTTCATTTATTCCTACTCGATATTCACAGGACATTTTCGCGAGTAAAAAGTCCAACTTCGTTCTATAAAGCCAAACCAGCGAAAACCGTTTGAAGGCTATCAAGAAAATGTGTTGTTACATGGATTATTCATGAGTGTCAACACTCCCGGATGAGAACCAATGCGCATCCTCACTTTTTCCCAACATTTAAACAAAAGCGCGTTTTTGATTGGTCAATATCGATAATTACTTTMTACTGATTGGTGGAAAATTAAACCGAACAAAGGTTTGCTTGAGGAATTTKCGTAAATCTTTCGGCATGGGTTCGGAAATCTTCGTAAAGCGCGCCAAATTGGGAAACCCATTGAATGCTGAAYACAGTCGAATGTTGATTGGTTGTTTATCAGCGTGAGAGTGATTTTACTGAACGCCTATTGGTCGAATACTCCAGTTTCCGCTTTGAAAAATAACTACTCAAGGAAAAAAATACACATGGCGCTTCTCGCGGCGAAACACAAAGCCTTTACCACTTTAACTCGCTGGACTCAAACTCGACGCACACGTTAACCTGGCCACCTATTGTCGTTGAGATTAATAGTGTGAAGACCGAATATGGGTTCTGAGGCTTGTTTTCCAACAAAAGAGCAGCTTGACGAGCAAATCCTTCGATCTCCATGGGCTGAGTACCCTCTGCCGCCGTTGCACAAAGCATGCAGAGATGGCGATGTACAGAGTTTGYTGTATCTCGTTATCCAAGGAGATCGTCTCGAAGTGTTTCGGTCAGTGAACGAGCAGGATCAATTCTTGATGTGGACACCGGCTCACTGGGCTGCTTATTTTGGACAGGTAATAATAATTTTGCGATCAAAGACTTCTGTCGCTAGTTTTAGGCTTGCGTGAGTGTGGTTGTCAAAAGTTTCAGTTCATAAGATCAAGATCTATTGRTGTGTTTACGCATGGACTGGATCTTCTTTTTCCTACCATTATGGAAAATAACCTTACACTTGAGATTGTATGAGCTAGAGCAAAATAGGTATTTTGTCTTGTGGTTTCGTACTTTCTGTTTTCGATTTTTTTCAATGAACTCAAGCGTAATTTTCTTGTTGTTTATTAAGTTAACCGTCCTGTAAAAAGTCGCATGTTTATGTGCAATTTTAACTTTTGAAGTTAACCATATTTTCCGTTATCAATGACCGGGTATTATTTCGGAGTCATATACTTTACAAACTTACACTTATTTATGGAAACCTGCGTGAAAGAGTTGTTTTGAACTTTTTCAAGAGCGAGTGACGGTGACTTAAAATATTGGCCTTCTATAAATTGCGGTCAATTTAATTATGTTTAAGGAAATCATTCCGTGTATTTCTCTGTAGTGGCTTCTTTATACCTATTTAGATATGATCTATTTTGTAGATGTTATCAATGTTGAACTGTACACTTCAAGAATTAGATTAGACAAGATRATTGCATGAAAATGTGAGGGTCACAACACCATTGTCTGAAATTTAGACTCCTTCTCAGTTAAAGCCTTTTCGTGTTGTGGATTGATATTCAACTGAAGTGGTTTGTTATGAAACTATGATAATTAACTCAATTTTGATACCACCATTGRTAAATCAATGAAATGTTTTTGAAAAATATGTAAATATGCCCACCAATAATTTGTCAGGGTTTTGATACTCCTTGGCACATTATTCCCAATTTGAATTAAGGTGGTTATAATTTTTCATAATAAAGGTACTGGTTGGCAACACTGCAAAAATTAATATGGTACRTTTGACATAAATATAAGCAGTTACTTCTATAGGCTTTGAAAATGAAATGAAAAATTATGCAGATCAAGATGGCTGTATGTAACAAATAAAGCACTCTCACTATGGCAAACACTTCATGTATTCTCACTGTTTAGCCACCTTAAATACATGAATTGTGTACCAATAATTGGCTACTCTACATGTGATTTTGTTTTATTGTTTAGAGAAAATATTTTGCTGTAAACAATGCTTTGAAGGACATCAGTGCTCAGCCTTAAGATTTTCTATATGAAGGAGATTGTCGTAAGATGTTGTCTGATTACAAGTTCATGRTGATGATGATGTCATCAAGACTATGGAAATTGATTTAGCCAATCACAGACCACCAATGACTAGATATTTATATATATATCTATATATTTAATATTTCCTTTTGTATATTCTTTTAATTCACATGCAGCTTGTTCAGATTTTCTATTTTTCTGATAACATATGCAATAAGGTRTAAGCAATATCATTGAAAAGGCTTTGTTCMAAGATTGTCTTGTCAAGTCTTCATTTTCAGCCACATCTGGTTCATGATTGTTCAATWTTACAAATTAGCTTTGAGGTATTTCAGTAGAAAATCATAGGAGTAATACTAACATAAATTCAAAATTCAATTCTAAAAATAAAAGGGCAGTTTTTGAATAATTTTAATATYATTTTTATACAAAACACATCATTTTTTGAATCACCATTTGTCTGTCAGCTATTATTTCATATTCAAATTGAGGTAAAATTGGTCTTTTGAAACTACCGCATTCTGCTATTAAAGTCTAGACTTAGACAATAATATTGCCTATAACATATTATCTTTATTTCTTTATTGCCAAAGGGAAAACAGTCCCAAATACACAACAAAATTGTATTATTACTCCAAATAAGGTTGTTTAAACTTGAATGCCGATTATTTTGTTATAAAAACCAAAAATTGAAATTGAAATTGTTACATTTATTATAATACTTATGGCAGCAATGATGATATGTTTATATAACACTACATCAAATCAATTGGTGTGTTTCTATTAAGTAATATCTCTCTAGAACCACCTGGGGATGTCATCAGTTTTGTTTTTGTATTTTGACTTCATAATTGAATTTTTAGTTACGAAAAATTCATATTCCACAACATTTTTGGGCTGAGTATTAACTTATATGACAAATYGAGACAATTAGTTCTGTTTAACTATGATAACTATGAAACAAAGCATAATAGTGTATGAAAAAAGATAATAAACACTTGTACAATAAARTGTAGATTCAAAACCATTCTTATATTTTTAATGAATTCTTAAAGTCTGGTTCCTATTCAAATAGCATACAACATACAAGTACTTATGGTATAGAATTAAAGTGTAATTTCTTTACYACAGCTTGAGTGCCTGATGCGCCTTGTTAGTTGCGGTTTTAGCCTTGATGTTGTGGATGGAAGGTTAAAACAAACAACTGCTCACCTTGCGGCATTTTCTGGTAATGCTCTTGTACTGGATTGGGTTCTTCAAGCAGGAGCAACAGCTGATAAACAAGTAAGCAACTATTGTGATACAATAAAGGCTAMTAATCCAATGAACAAATTATTAGGGAAAAAATGCTTTCAGTTTTCAGTCCTACCTAAAYGTTTTCCTCATTTCCTCAATTTTACTCGCTTGAGTCATTGTTTCCAATAAAGCTGGTAGTACTACAATAATGATGCTAAAAAAAAGCTTTGTCTAGTACATCATGCAAAGTACTGCTAAAGCCATTACTTTGTCATTACAGTTTCACTTGTTATGACTGTGGTATTCTGCTTGATAACTCAATGGTTTTTGTTTAATTTCAAGGACAGTCTTGGGGAAACTGCTGTTCACAAAGCTGTGCGTGGTGGAAGTCCAGAGTGTCTCAATATTCTACAAAACTATGGAGCAGCAATGAAGTAAGATGACAGTCAAAGAAAAGCTAATGTTACTAGTAAAAAGGAAATCAAGGGTGCTCAAACAGTTGTCTCTATATTAACTGGGTAATATAC